TTCTCAAAACTTGACATTTGACTTTGTGGTTGACCATTTCAAGGAAAAAACAGCCCTAACATCCCCAAAACAAGTAAACAAAATTTAAAATTTTAATATTAATTACAGGTAACAAATGTTTTAATTAACATGAAAAAGACCATATTGGGAGAGCAAGGACTCTGGAGCCAGACTGCTGTGTTTGAATCCTGAGTCCCTTATTTGTATGCATAGCCTCCGTTTTCTAAGCTATAGAATGAAAATACCTGTTTCATTAGGTTGTAAGGATGAGTAAGTTAATACATGTAAAGTATTTAGTAGAGTACCTGGGATATTGTAAATACTATACATAGAAGTATTTGCTACTACTGTGCAAAGTGGTAATGGTGAATATCTGATCTTTTTTCTTTGAACAATAACAATTCACATTATAGTGGATAATAATATCCATTGCTTATGATTTGAAGCCCCTAATTATAAATGTATTACTGAGATGTTATCAAATTACCAAGGTTAGAAGACATACTAAGTACATTCTAGTAAAGTTTTAAAATTTTGCATTAGAATATCTTAGGGTATGTTTATTAATGGGAAAGGGTATACAGCTTATAATAAAATCGCCCCTAATTCTAGTTTAAAATTAAAGAGGGATTCTTGGATCTGGGTTCTACCCCAGACCTATCTAGGCCAACGTATGTCTATTTTTTGACAAACACCACAGATGATTCCAATGTGCATCCCTGGCTGAGCACCATGTTTTAGATTAAATGTAAAAACAGTTTGATTTTTGAAATGAAGGAAAAATTTCCTTAATAACTGGCAGTTTTCTGAGCCCAATTATGAAGACTCAGGCATCAAACCAAAATGAAATGGATCTGTTTAATGTAACAACTTGTTTTTTTTTTTCAATGCTTGTTTTCTCACCATGAAGGGTATGCATGTATGTGTATGTATTTCCTTTACAATGCAGTTTTAATGCTGAGTGTGTTTGCCTTTAAAATGACAAGGGAAAACCAGCAGGTAACAAAGGAAAATTACGGTTTTGTGAGTGGTGTGTCTGTAGATTGTGATTATGTAAGGTGAAAAATACCACTTACGATTTAAGCCAAAATATATTTTTAAAGCTTTGATTTGGCTTTTTGCCTCAACTTGGTATTAACTTAAATATAAAGGAAGAAAATCTATTAAAACCAATAAGGTTTTGTATTTGTTAATATTTAGAGAGTTCAATAAACATGTGCTGACCTGTATTAAGTATTTGTATTATACTATGAAAAAGCCAGTTAGTATAAATGGTAACTTGTAAGTTCAACAGTAAATGTAAACATTCTTTGTATCTAGGATTTTTGAGTTGCAAGTTAAACTGAATTTTTACTGCAGTGGAGAGGAAGAGCCTATCAGGCAAAATAACAGGTAATACCATAGTTTAAACAAAACCCAAGTTGTTGACTCCCCTTACACCTTTTTTTTTTTAAGGCATGTCTATGTATATAGATATGTTCTTAAGAAACATCTCAGAAAAGAGGTTCAGAAACCAATATTAACATTCTAAGAATTTGTTTTGGCATAGCCAAAAATAAGTAGTTTAAAAAAAGAACAGACAAAAGCATTAGATTTCTGTGAGGGTCTTCACTTGCCTTTTCTGCCTTGAATTCAGCTTATGTATATAAAAATGGTTCTTTTGTGGCCTTGAGGAGGGTAAAGCAGATCTGGGAATAATGCTGAGCTTGTGGTAGCTGAAAGCTGAATTAACTAAAAATATCAAATTTTGGATACTTAAGTCACCTTTTAGTTCCCTGAAAATAAAAACTAGTAATTTACTTCTACCAAGCACCTCACCAGTTGATTTTCACAAAACCAGTACAAACTTAAGTTACTGGAATTATTAAAATTATAATTTGTTTCCCCAGTTTAGTCTTTTTTAAGAGCAAAGCTAAAGCCATAGTTATGCTCATTAAAAGAAAAGGCTTGCTTTTTTTTTGAAGGGCTACTTTCTCAACGTGAGGCCCCCAAATCATGGTTATTATTTTGCTGGCTCATGATTTTCCTTGGTAAAACTGACGTGCTTTTGTTTTTTCCCCTTTCAAGCCCTGTACTCACTTTAGCAAGATGCAGTGAATTTCTGACCAGAGAAACAAAGAATTCAGGCTTGGAGGAAACACTTTGACTTTATATCCTGGGAAAACTAAAGTTGAAGCCTGAGATCTGCAGCTAGGCTAGTCTTTAATAGATGGTAATTGTCCAGTTGTACATTCATTGCTCAGAAGTATGCAGGAAGGAGGAGTAAGTATCCCTTTGGTTCTTTTGCCAAGTTTTTCCCCTCCTAACTGTCAAGCTTAGTTGACCTAGCTTTCAGAGTAAGTGTGATGAAGCTGCTAATTTAGAAATCACCGACTTCTTAAATTTATATTTTTTATATACATTTTAGAGATACTTTATGGCTATTGTTGTTTTTACAATGCTATTCTGTGCCCTGTTGTGAAAGTCTAAAATATCCCAGTTATTGTCCTACCAATAAATACTTTAAAAAGCATTCCTCCATAGCTAAGGGCTTGAAGAAATAATAATTCCAAAGTTACAGAAAGTTGGCAGTACTTTAAAGGAGCTTCATTTAAGCCATTTCCCCTAATAATTTATTACTATATAGGAAGGTAAAACAAAAACAAGTGAAGCTGTCAGCCTGGACATCTATCCTTATACTATACTGATTATTTAAAAGAATCAGGTGTATTCCACAAGAAAACTAGTTTCTTGTTAGATCTGGTACATAGGCCAATGAGAATTTTTTTCTTCGCAAGGCCAGCACTAAAATATTAGTTAGAGCACTCAATTATTATGCAATGGTTATTATCAGTGTATAACGTACTCTCAAGCACAGGTCCTTTCCCTCTTTTAGAAAGACTGGTTCTAAAATCAGAGATAAATGAATCTTATAAAGCTTCTGTTTAAAAATTTCTACGGGATGTCAAAATTGACTTACAACATATAACCTGCCATGGAATTTTGTGAAAATGAACCATTTTATTAAGTCTTTTTCTGCAAGACTCAGGATAATTAAAATTCAAGATTAAGGACAAAGAAGCCTGCATTCATCAGAGAAAGTAGAGAAGTCCACACCTCTTTAATTTACTTCGGCACTACAAATTCCTAGATTATGGGGATGGGGTGCATTTGTATAAGTCTTAATCCTTACAACCTTTCAGGACGGAGTTAGTATTTATTACCAACTTTTCAGGACGAAACAGTTTCCATGAAGAAACTAAGTAATTTGCCCAGGGTTCTTAGCCAATATTAGAACATCTATTTCAACGTGACCAAAACCCTTGTTCCTCCCTTTTTATGCTGTTTTTGGAAGAGTGTATGGAATTTTTGAGGTGGAAGGTTAATAAAAGAAAGAGAAAGGGCAGCTGGTTGCTTCTTCAAGTGGAAGAAAACAAACTCTAGAAAAAAACCTTCCTCAAGAGGCTAAACAATTTTCTCATGAGAATTCCCAAGAAGCAGTGTGGCCTTAGGTTAGAAGCTTTGCCTCAAAAATCCTCACTGCCTTTTAAGATTGTTTCATAATGTTAAAAGTTGTCATTGTTATGGCCCTGAAGAGGCATTTCTGCTGGGGTTTCTCATTCCTAATCAGAAACTAGAGTTACATTGACTTCAGAATTTTCTTTTGTAATAATATGTACAGACGTAGGATTTATCTGTACCTATTAATACATCACTCAGGCATTTTACACAGAGGGCAACATTAACTCAGGATACTGGGGACTAAATGGGAACGTCCAGACTAATGTTCAGTTTGAATAGTATAGCCAAAAGGTTTCCCTAAAAAGTTACTTTGTAGAACAGATAAAAACAATGACAAGTGGCTTTGCATCCTAGCTGAAGCAGTTAAGATTATCGAGTACATTAAACCATTTGCAGTTGGGATTATGTGAAATTATCAGTCAAAAAGGTAGCTGTTTAAATTATAAACAGGAAATGGCAATGAGTTAAATTGCCATTAATTCAAATCACAGAAATAGTACCAAAACAGACATTTAAGGAGATAGTTGCCTCTCAAAGTGTGGCTGCTCACTCATATTTTTTCCTTCATAGAAAAGGGTGGTACAAAAAGCACTCGCGTATTCTTCATTCACAATTTTTATTTCTTGCAGTTAACTTTTTGTATCTTCAAAGTCGATTTGTCTTTTAAAAAATTAATACGTCTCACTCATCATACAATCCATCCCCTTCCCCCAAGAAAACAAACCAGGGGAGGAGGAATTTAGGGGGCAGTTGAAATAGGTACTATAGGTTTGTGAGAAAGGCTTCCCAGCCCACCATTCTGTACATATACAACAAAATGGCAGCACCTCAAGTTCACCTGAAGTCCCAAATTCTAGCCCTAGGCAGGTGATGCAAGTGAATGCCATGGGATTAACAAAATGGAAGCTCGGTCATTGGCTTCCATCTACTTTCCATGGTAGGTAGCAGTCTTCCAATTGTCTCCCTTGGGAAAGTCAAAAGTAAGCAACTATATAGAGCAACATTTTGACCCAGCCAGGAGTAATTAATAAGTGAAACCAGAAATAATTTATCTGGGCCACAGAAGTGAATTTGTTTTATCATGTTTTTAAGTCCCCAGCACCTGAAGTAGCAAGTTCTAATAACGGGCTTCTAAAGGCATGCAGCTTTTCACACATCTACTTCAAAGAAATTCTTCCACTCAAACATACCACAATCAAGGATAAAATATTTTTGGAGGCACAGGAAGAGCACAAGAACAAGTAAGTACATGATGAGGCCTTGTGTATGACCAGGATGGTTCACTTCATATATAGAAGCAGTGAAAGCTGTTAAAGTGCTACTTACAAAGGATAGTCTAACATTACACACACAACTCAACTCTGCACTGCTAAATATGGTTGTCTTTATTTTCTTTTTCCTTGCCCAGCCCTATCTAAACAAAATAAACTACAGGACTGAAATTAACAACCCATTAAAATCAGCAATAAGTTATGAAAATCATAAAGCTTTTTTTTTTCTTTTTTAAGTAATTAAGGGTAGTTAAATTATTTAAAGTATACAAAGTCCAAAGAGCAGGGTAAGGTTTCCAAGGCTTCCTGGGGTAGGGGATAGGGCCTTGGAGTTTGAAAGAACAAAGGGAACACATGACATCAAAGTGCAGGCTAGAAATTTCACTTAAAAGAAAGTAACATTTCTGAAAATCTTGACAAGAGCAACAATAGCACCTGCACAGTGGGATTGTGAGGAAGGAGAGAGACTGCCTGTAGGAAAATGGAAGCAGATCTTTACATTAAAATGAGACAAGTGCCAAACTTAACTATGTTAACTATGATAGTGTGTCTACTATATTTATCAGATGGTTAAAAGATGGTAAAAAGAAAAATGATTCTAAAAGAAAACAAAAACAGCATTGACCTTTTTTCTACTTAGCCCAGACCTCATTCATTTTGTGCACTATAAAGAGTGAGGTGTGAGGTGTTTTATCATTATCAAATGCTGCATCAAAATAGATGATTTTTTCCCATGTGTTTTTTTTTTTTTACTATAAAAGACGTCTATGTTTTTTATGGACAAGCTTTAAAAAGATGTCATTTTGGTTTTCAACACATACAAACATTTATCAAAATCTGAAATAAAAATGCTGCCGTGGCTCAGACCTTGGCCTGCTAATCTGCGTGCACAACTCTTCTGGCCCACGCAGACAGACACAGAGGCACATGGATCTTTTTCCTTCTGGCCCCTAAATCTGAACTGAGGCCCTGTGTGGTAGAGGCTGTCATGCACATGGACTGCCCCATGCTGCCCAAGGGCCTAAGGGCAGCTGACTGTTGAGCTGGCGGTTGGGTGCCCTACTGCTAACAATGCAGGATAAGGTTAGCTTGCTTAGCATGGAATCCAACAGAAAGCTGAGCTGCATGATGATCCCTTTCAAAAGGCTTCATGGGAGTCTCTCCTTTGCAGAGCATGAAATGAATTTTGTTGTTGTATTTTTAAAGAATTGATCATCCACAGGCTTCATGATAAGCTGTCCCAGGCTGAGTTTTAATAGATCTTTAGCCATCCAAGATTAATGCCTGATTATCTTGTCTTGTCATTACTATACGTTTGATTTTTGTTTGTTTTTAGGACCAAAAAGCTCAGGAAGGGTTCATAATCCCATCCTTAAATGTGTCTACTCAATGTAGTATGAGCAAACTAGAAAAGAAAAAGAGGATGGAATCTCCAATGTCCTCTTTCAAATCAACTCAATCAAATCAAGAAAATTTCATACAAGTTTTCTGCTGCCATTAGAAACTGATTTTCAAATACGAATATTATGAATATTTGTTCTGTTGGGGAGGCTCTGCCCCACTTTTTGCTAAATATTTGCTTAAATGGAGGTCTTTTGACCCTTTTTGTTCAAGTATAGTTTTGTTTAGTTTTAAAGAGGAGACTGCATCATGAACCCAATTTAAGAGATTGTTTGGATTGAATTGGCCCAGTGAATATTTTGCCCTGCACTGTTATGTCATGCTGGGTTCTAGGAAGTGAATGAAAGTTTGACACTGGCACTGGAGTAACCCTCGTCACTCCCAATACTCTGCAGGCTGCTGTGGTCATCAATGTCACTGATGCTGGTGGTACTGATATTGTCCACTTCTCCATGGGAGAACTCTGTGCTTTCAACATCCACTTCAATCTCCTCTGCCAAAGGGAAAAAAGGAAGAACATTAGTAACCTAATATATGTGCACTTTCAAGGACTAACAGGGATGAGGAAAAGTGATTACTTTTTGTGGTATAAAGTCATTGTTATACAAGCTATTATCAGTGATCTCTGAAGAACAGAAGGAACCAAAGGTGAGGAGACACAGTGATATATTTTACAAAGGGAAATGTCTGGTATAGAGTGGTGGTCTCAATTCAGGCAGCAAGTATACTAAAGCCTTTGATGCCAGTCTGTCTAGACCTCCCACCAAAAGCAGTTGACCTGTTTGGGAATTAGTGCTTAATATTAAAAGATCCCAATCCCAGTTGATTTAATCACATCTGTTTTACATTAAACTAGAAACTAATTCTCAGTGATGTTTATTAAGCAGAGTTGCCTTAAAGGGGGAAAAAAGCATAAATTTAATATAAGAGAACTAGAAAATGTACCCATCCAAGCCTTTGGTGGTATCATTCTACAGACAATTCTACAGACTTTTGGGATTCATCATAAAGATCTCTGACCATTCAATAACAAAAGAAGCCAGTTATTATTAAGTGGACTCAGGGATTTGTCTTCAATTCACTTTAATTTTCCTGCATCAGATATAGCTTGAAATGAGGACCTAAGGCTTAAAAATCTCTGGATTATAGAGCGGGCTATAGTAAAGATTATAGTAAGGGCATTTCAGTGGTGGTATTTAACTTCAAAAACCAAAAATGATTTTAAAAAATCCTAAATACAGTATGACCCAGCTGTCTCTAGAGATCTTAATATCAATAATTGATCACCAGTAATACATTAAAAATATATTAAAAAATAAAAGGCAGTTGAAAAATTGTTTTCTCCCACAACAGCTGGCATGAACTCAATATCCTTCAGTTCTCTTAAATTCAAAGCCTGGTGCTTCATATTTGGCACTGACTTTAATGGTTCACATTGATCACAACTGCTTTAAGAAAAGCGGATTGTTGCTGAGCCCAAGAAGACAGAGTAAGTTATTTCAAAGAGAGTAATTTTCAAAGGGCTTGTTGCTTCGGAAAGTTTTAGCAATCTGTTTTTAAAATGTAGGCAGTTGTCCAAACAAGCTGTACAAATAATCCTATGAATTCATAATTATTTGTTTCATATCCATAATGCTTCATAGGCTATTTAGTGTTTCTTAACATCTCTCATCCAACCTACATTTGGGAAATAAAATCAAGACACCCTATCCAACAGAGCTTGCTGAACTCAAAGTAAAATGAGAGACTGCTCTAGCCAAATGGACTAGAGATTTTGCTAAAAGTCTGTAACGCTGGGAAAGAAGGCTGCTGGATAAGAATAAGAACTGGGGGTGAGGGTATAGCTCAGTGTAGAGTGTGTGGCTTAGCATGCAAGAGATCCTGGGTTCAATCCCCAGTATCTCCATTAAATAAATAAATAAACCTAATTCTCCCCTCCCCCCCCCAAAAGGTAGTAAGGTATTTGCACACTCCTGGGAATACTAAAAAAGTGAGAACTATAATGATGAAGACACATCCTCTGAAATTCGGAGGTGGGGTGGGTACAAGGAGGAGATTAACAGCAAGAAGGGCAGTTAAAGCCTGCAGGTCACAGAGCTAGTAAGCTGCAAAAGAAAGACTAAGACCAAGTCGCCTCCTAATTCGGGGTTCTTTCTGCTACACCTCCCCTGTCACTCAAATATAGCATAGCCTTGAGGTTCCTGCTGCTACTTGTAAACTTTTGTTCTTCAAACCTGAGTGCCACATAAAAAATAAACTTTTACATAGCAAGACAACAAAAACAAATCCAAGGGTTGTGTTAAAGGGAATTTAAAACCCATCTGAAAGGCTCCCACAGAATTTGGGAAATTAAGTATTAAAAAAGAATTAAAAAGAATGACTACAGTGGACTGGAACACATTCAGTACATGAAAACATGAGTTCATAAGATAATCAAAAACACAGAACACAACACAAAACCTTGTTACCTCTGGAGGTTGCTAAGGCATCAACTCATTATTTAGAAAATTGATGAAGCAAAACCAAAACAAGAAAAAGCATTTATCCTGTCTTCCCAGTAAGGACTTTTTCAGGGTAACCAAAAAGTTGATGAGGAAATTAAAGAAGAAAAAGTTAATAAACACAAGAAGAACGACAAAATTAGAAAACCATTATTTTGTTACACTTAATAAAATAATGATCAGGGCAGGGGGAAGGGTATAGCTCAAGTGGTAGAGCACATGCTTAGTACGCACGAGGTCCTGGGTTCAATCTCCAGTACCTCCTCCAAACAGAAGTGAGCAAACCTAATTACCTCCCCCTCATAAATCAAACAAGCAAAAGTAATGATCAGGGCAACAGTCATCAATGATTACTAACACTATTATGTGAAAAGTTGATACAATTACATAGATGTATCAAGATGACATCACCTGAACTCACTGACCAGTGTTCTCACTAGCATGGGACAACTAAACATAATACTGATGCAACAGGAAGTACACAGCACCACTCATGCAGGATTCTTGCCTCAAAAAATATGAATTTAATCAAGCCCCTAGATCTACCAACTAGTTTACAAGAAATATGAGGGACAAAAATATCTGCTTTTTTTTCAGTGGAGGTACTGGGGATCAAACCCAGGGCCTCGTGCATGCTAAGCTTGTGCTCTACCATTGAGCTATTTCCCTCCCCCCAGGGGACAGAACATGTTAACTGACATCATGAGGATTCATTAGCCAAATCTAGAATGGGGGAAACTATATGTAAGAAAAATGACCCAGTTTCCCAGTTTTGACAACAAATAACTGACACTGGGGAAAGGAAAACTATTATAGATTAAAAGTAGGGCTGACCCTTGAACACAGGGAGTTAGGGATGCCAAACCCTCCACGCAGTCAAAAATCTGAACATAGCATTACAGTCAGTCCTCCCTATCTGTGGATTCAACCAACTGCAGATCATGTAGTACTGTAGCGCGTATTTATTGAAAAACATCCTCATATAAGTGGACCCATGCAGTTCAAACCTGTTGTTCAAGGATCAACTGTATCTTAAAAGGTACAAGCAAATGCAGTGTGAACTTTGTTTGGATTATAATTCAAACATACCAATGGTAAGATGCCATTTTTGAGACAAGCTATCAGAGACTGGGTATTAGATGACATTAAATAGGATTATTGGGGTTGGGGGGTATATAGCTCAGTGGTAGAGTGCATGCCTAGCATGTACAAGGTCCTGGGTTCAATCCCCAGTACTTCCATTAAAGATAAATAAATAAAAACCGAATTACCCCCCCCAAAAATAAAAAAATAAGTTTAAAATAAATAAAAGGCTTAAAAAAAGTATTACCTGATTTTATTGTGTGGGCTCTTATAATAGTATTATATTCTTTAAAGTCCTATTTATTAAAGATAGATACTGAAGTATTTAGGGACAAAGCGATAATGTTATCTGAGATTTGATTTAAAACATTCCAGATATTTGATTTAAAACATTCCATTTGATTCCTGCATTCTAGAAAAAGTGGTGAGGTGGTAAAGAACAGGTGAAATAAGAGTGACAGAATGTTGACAGCTGTTCAAACTGGATGATGGGTATGTGAGAGTTCATTATCCTATTCTACTTTTGTGTATGTTTGAAAATTTCCATAATAAAAAGTCAAAAGAAATTTAGAATTCTCAAGATCTCATGAGCTCTAGTTTACCAAATGTAAAGCTTAAAGTCACCAGAGTTCACCTCTGGGATCTTTTACTATGGTGTGGCGGGTGGGAGCTATAGATGAGCAGATCAGTAGAATTCAAACAGTTTCTTTTTCAGTTGATTTTTGTTCTTTAATTCTGCCAAAGACAAATGTTCTGGGACAGATGTAAAGAGAAATAAAGGATGTGGTACTTTGAAATATAGGTTTAAAAATTAACATCACCAGTTATAAAACATATCAACATCCTGTATTTTCCTGATGCAATGAATTGAGAAGGGCCCAACATTACTTCTGTGACATCTCTTCCCCTCAAATGTGTAACACCTCATTCTAATGAGAAAACATCAGACAAACCCAAATTGAGGAACACTGCATAAAATAACTGACCAGTATTCTTCAAAAGTGGCATGGTCATGAAAGACTGAAGAGCTAGCTAATGCAATGTAGGATCCTGCACTGGATCCTGGAGTAGGCAAGGGACATTTTTGGGAAGAGTGGTGAAATTTGAATAAGGTTTATAGAGTAACACTATTGCATGATTGTTAATTTTTTTGGTTTCGGTAACTGTATTATGATTACATAAGATACTAACATTAGGGGAACCTGCGTGAATGGTATGAGAACGCTACAGTTTTCTACAGAAAACTTAAAACTTTAAGTCTAAAATTTTAAATACATACATAACCAAGAAAAAAGGTTCTATCGTTCATACAGGTATTGCTAGACAATACTGTGACTGTATAAAATCTAGAATGTTACATACTTGTTGGCAAAAGAGAAGAAAGCAAATACAGTGTCCTCCAACCTACCTTCCCTAAGTCCAGTCATAGGGATGCTAGTATTTCATTAGGGAAGCAGCACACTGCCTACCTCGCTCTGAATCAGAACGATCTGAAGAAATAGTTGATCCAATGCTGTCCATTCGTATTCGTTCCATCTCCTGAGGACCCTGCAGCTGTTCCAGTCGCCGCTTCAAAAATCTCTGTTCTCGTTCCAAGTTCTCTAGCTGGTGCTGGCTCTTCCTTTCAGCTTCTTCAAGTTTCTACAATGATAAAGTGGTATTTAGGTTTGTGTGTAGTCCAGCAGAAACAATAAAAACTGATTCCTACCTAACATCTCAAAAGATTTCTTCTTTGACCAAGGAAACACGAATGACTACACAAATGTATGTGTATATTTAAGAACATACATAAATACATATTTTTAAACATCAAAAATAGTTTTCTTCACTTTTTTTGTGCGTATGTGTAACGAATGCTACATTACTAGGACAGAACGGAATTCTCAGTCTGTCAAGTTATCTCCACGAAAGAGAAACTTGCTCTGCAGTATAGTTTGATGGAAAAATACTGAGGGACAGAGCCAAATGAAGCCATCTCCACCAGAGGGCACAACTGCCTTCCTTCAGGGCATCAGCAGAGTAATTGTTATTTTCCTCATATTCCCAGCTCTTCAAATCGCCATGCTGTCAAAACAGTTTAGTTTAATCAGGTTATATTGCTCCCACCAGATTAGCTGATAAGTTTTCAGAAAATTTCTCTTGAGGTCAGTTATTAAAGGAGGGCATTGGAGATGGCTGATATACATGAATAGGAATTGCTAAAAAGAAACCAGGACTGAGAGAATCATGTGTAAATATGAAAGTAAAAATTCTTACCTTGATGTGTGCTTTGGCTTTGTTGAGCAAACCTAGCGTTGTGTGCCTGGTGCAGTCTGGTCCTAGTGGAATCAGAACTTTCAAGCGTTCTAAACACAGGCGAAGATGAGCTCGTCTAAGGAAGACAAAAAAGTCAAATCAGCACAGCCTGAATATTCCACTAAAAAGTCCTAAAATCTATTTTAAGACAAATAATAATTTGCACATTATTCAGTCTGTAGCCTTGTTAACACCCTAAATCAGTTTCAACAAAGTATCTGCATGCAAGTGCAGGTGTGCCTACAGGCTTTCTGTCTCTGCCATTTCTGTTGCACGCTGCGGACACCGGTCACTTCAGATTCTTATTCCCAATGGTAATCCTCTGTCAGAAGTGATTTAATTTTCACCTGCCCCATAAACTGTCTCAACTGCATTAACATGGAAGTAGGAAAGCATACTGAGGCAACTGTATTTGACTTTGAATGCCTAAAACCACAGGCTAGAGTAGACATTTTCAGCTTCAGTACCCCAAAATGCTCACAAATTTCCATTTCCTCCCTCCCGCTTTTCATTTACAGGCACACACAACCTCCTATCCACAACTGGAACCATCCAACAATGTCTGTTATTATGTATTAGGTTGAACCATATAAAATTTCTGATAGTCAACCATTTCTCACTTATAAAAATGACAACTTTGTATGATCCAACATAACAGAAACAGCAAAATTCTGTGACCAGCAAGGATAGGGTTAGGCAAAATATATGGCCCTGAGGCCAATTCTAGCCACTAAAACCACAACTCATGGAACAGTCTGCTGCTTCCTAATACCTAAGTGTACCAGTTACTATTAGCTTTTCATTTTTATTTCTCTTTATTCCTTTCCCTTTCCTCTCTTACTTGCTACCTCCAGTTTTCTACACACAGAAAAAAATCAGGTCACAAAATTCTTCACTAAAAGTCCATGCATTAATATACCCATCCTGTGGGCCAGTTATGGGAAATTTCTCCTGGAAATGCTAGCAGAGAACCTTATAAATTTACATTCCCTGTACCCTACAGGAACTGTGATTACCATGATGAGAGTTCTGGGTACATAATTCCACCCTGAAACAATACTAGTTCACATATGTGGTCCTGTGCGTCATCAGGTATAACATAATTCAGCAGTTAATAGTATATCTGAAAAGAAAACCCACAAATGTGTTCATAGATTACCCTATTCCTTAAAGAGCTATAACTGTACATTTAGCAACTGACCCTGAAAAATACATCCTCCATTTTCTCCTCAAAGAGGGCCAAAATAGTTTACTAGCTCATCCACCAAACTATGCTTTCTCTGTCTTAATACACAAGAAATAATGTCAAGAGAAATTCTCAAATGCTAGAAATTTCAAAGAGGGTTAAGAGAAGCCAGCCAATTCTGTCACTGAAAGGATGACTAAGGGGCAGTGAGGTCAGAGGTATGGCTGATGAATTGTCAAGATTCTTCCAGTACCCACTAGCCCGTTAGTATTTCCATTCCAAAGCTCTTTACTGAGTTCAGTAACTCAAATCTAGTAATTGGTTCCAGGCTGAAACCTGACATACCTGATGTGGACAAAGAAAAATTTTCATTTTTCTTAAATGAAAGGTTTATCAATGGATTCCCCCTAATGAGACCTAATAATTTTAAAGTCACTCCCCTCCCCTGCTGTGCTACCCCAAATCATAGAACCTTTAGCAGAATTTTCATTTTTAACTGGAAAATCTCACATGATCACAGAGTGCTTTTACTGAGCAGACTAAAATGAAACAACAATAAATTCACAGTAAAAGAGTGCCATTAAACTCTTCATTAAGATTATTACAGTATATGCCTAACAACTGCACTATATGATGTGACCGGAGGGTGGAGAGAGACTGGTGGTTCTCTTGCTAATAATTAGAGGCTCCCAAGGGGCCTCTGAATTTAGTCATCTAAAAAAGTTAACAAAGCAACTAACTAGTAAAGCTCACAAGTATGTTGCCACAGGAATAACTTGTCAATTTTGTTTAAATTATTTAACCCCAGAAACTCAGTACATATATAGGAAACATCTTTTAATTTGACTATATGAAACTTCAGAGTGACTCTTTACTGTAGTTTCATATCAAGAAAAAAAAAAGGATCAATTTTCTGTTTTGTGAGATGTAAGTTAAAGTCATATTAAAATCTAGGCAAAAATCAACTAACAATATTAAAATGTCTGTGTTTTTTCTTTTTAAAAAATCATTCAGTTGCATTATTTATTACATGACTTTTGTGTACTCAGCAATGTTCCAGACACTTGCTTGAGTGGGAGAAGTTAAAAAGAAACAAAAGTAAACTTCAAGAGTTTATAATCCAGATTACAGAATGAAATTTTTTTTTTGGTTTCATTTGGTTCACAATGAAATGAGTCATACAGCTATCAAGGGCAGCAGTATCTGTATAAAAGGAGAGATAATAATTGGAGAAGGTAGCCTTATAAAGGAGTTGAAACTTGACTCTAAACTTGAGGGATACTGAATTTGTTTATGAAAAAGCAAGGGTTTTCAAGGTAATTGAGAAGAAAGGATTCAAAGTTCATATACAGGGACCAAGTTTAAACCTAAAATTAAAACATTTTGACTTGTTTCATTCAAAACAAGTGAACTGGAATTCTATAGGAAAATACTAGCCAAGTTCAGCTGTCTGGTGATCTCACAAGAACACTCAAATCAGGAGCTGCCCAGGCCAAGGGAGTCAGGGTGTAAGTAATGCCTAAAAGAACGAGGAAGGCAGACTGCCTTAGAATTTTTTTTTTATTAGCCATTATTGAACATTTCTTCAGTCAAGTAATTTTAACTGCTCCAAGATACAGTTTATACCAAGAAAACAGGCCCTGAGATATCATGTCTCATAAAAGGCAGTGATGCCACTTGCCATGCTTTGTAAACACAGCCCTCCAAAATAGGTAACAGTATAAAGGATGCGTGGTGAACGATGTCCTCTACTCCTCTGTGGGGAAAGGTGTATATGTGGGAGCCAGTGTCATTTCCTCCAGTTCTTGTCCTTGTAAGTGAATCAGGCATTTGGAGAACAGAATAACAAAGGGTTAATGGAAGTTGGAGGATAGCAGCTGACCAAGGCGGTGTCACACTTTTCAAAGTTGCCATCCAAATACTGCACACAGTTTTCCACAGGTGCTTATATGCCACTTTTAAGTAAATGCAATGGATTCCCTGTGATTGTTATCTGGAAAGTTGAATCAGGAAATCTGTTCTCCTCTATGTGTAAGTATTTTCTCTCTAGCAAATTATGGAATGAACTGTCTGGCAAAATTCTTCCTCCCTTACAATGGTGCTGTGCTGCTCTCTACTCTTTCCCCCATAGTCTCCCTGCTGGTAACCAGATTGCAAGCTTAACCACCAATGACCTAGAAAGGCATATCTTTTGATGCCATCTGGTCCTTTCTTTTCTTGCCTTCATTCTCATGTGACTGGTGGCTCAGAAGCCTCCTGTATGGAGTTGCCAAATCATGAACTGAAAGACACTGGGGGAGAGAAAAGAGGACAAGAAACAGAGAAGAAAAAGAAAAAAAGCTTGGTTTGATTTGAAAATCTCTATGTTCTGAGGAAAAACTTGCAAGTACCATAAGATGATCTTTTTCAAGTCTTCAAGGAAGGAAGGGTTGACATGAAGAACAAGGATTCATGAAAGGCATGGCCCTGCACCTTTAGTGAAAGTAGGGTGAGAAGGCTGGGGATAGTTAAGGCTGCTGCTCTGAATATTCTGATGAACATTAGACTAACAACCAACAGGAAAAAAAAAGCTGACATTGTAAAATTGACATAATTAGACTTAATGGAAAATGAGAAAAAAAATTTAGCACCCTGGTTAACATTTACCTAACTTTTTACAATACGTGGATGGCTCAATAAAAGCTATGCATCTAAAATCTTTCCTAGTTTAGCATGAGTGACTGTAAAGCAAAGTTAGGATTAGACCCTGCAGCAGGAGGTGCCCTGTGAGAAAACAGGAGTTTCCTTGCTGAGAGGGAGGGGGCAAGAGAATGGAAAGAAACCAGGGTACTTTTATTTTCAAAGACACTTTGAGGTCTGTTTTAAAATGAGATTTAAAAGTGGGTTTTACCCAGGGGAAGAGGCAATACCCAGTGACTAACCCTGTTAGAGAGAAGGTCCTATCAAAATTACCTACACCTTCAAACAGGGCAAGCCCCTTATGGGAAAAGGAACAATTAGAGTCTGTTTAGCTTTTATTTTGGTATATTGGGATCATTTTTCCTGAAGGAACCAGTGCTGCTTTTGATTTCAAACCTTGTAAACTCTGCTGCCAAACTGAAATATCACAGAACATGAGGGGAAATGATTTTGCTATAAAATGGCCCCTGCTAGTAGCTGTGATATTTTAAAGCACAGGTATATCAACCATAGGAAGCACACAGTGCTGAGGGAGGAGAGGAAAGAATTCCCTTTCAGAAAAAAACTGAAAGTATCATATGATGATATTTTTTCAAGTCATCTCTTGAAACTCTAGTCCCTCTGTCCAAACAACAAGAAATTTAACGCCTGTCCAGCCTCACAAACTGTCCACTGGCTGATGCCCTTGGAGGCACGGTCCTTCACTGGAACTTGCTTGTCTTTCATTCCTCCACTACAGGATACCAAGACTTTGCCAAATAACTAAATCAAAATGGAAAACAAGTCAAGTGATAGGAACAGTACTTGTATTTTCCTCTGGTGAACCTTATGCAAGGGGCTGTGAGTCCTCCCTTAAGCCACATTCTTCAAAGCTGCAGTGGCTTGTGGCCAGGTTTCCCAACTCCCTACACAACACTTCTGCACATGACAGTAGCTAGCTGCTTATCCTACATATTTTATATTCCAACATTTCTCTAAAATGTAACATGGCAAGAATTTTCTGAAAATCTCCAAAGTTACCAAAAACAACTGCCTGCCTCCTTTTCTTATAAAAAAATGATATTAAAAATGGATCCAGATACCAAGCATATTCATGCTACTCATGAATTTTACTTACAAAAACAAATATAATCATATTCTTGCTGTTCAGCTTATTTTGTTTGTGAAATTAGAAAGCTTAGACAAGCCATCCCCATAAAATGGCACATGAT